ATTATAGATACGCTATAATACCGAGTAACGTTGAAACATAGCAGCAACCAACAATTACTTTACATGGTGTAACACAATGTAACACAGCGTGCCCTAGCTGGAAAACAGCCAATAATTATTTAAAACAATAAATTAGAATCGCGAATAAATTGAAATTGCGTAGTTGTACCGCAATAACATCCGTATCACCATTCACACGCGAAATTATCTTATCAGTTAGAAAACATTGAGCTATCAGGATGACTTGGTTCTGCGTAATCATCAGTTTTATCGCAACGGCACAGGATCGATAAGATGCCGCAAAGGTCGATACGAACATGCGATATATTCAGCGTGATTTTTCACAATTGCGGCAAAGATTCGATTACGAAATAATTGATGACGCTCATATATGAATAACTATAGTTACATTCCTATAAATCTTGTAAACCGCGCAAAAACGACGAAAGACGTATTTATCGGTTAATGATAAATCGATGTGATTAACGTAAAATTGCGAAAGCCAAGTAATTGGATTGTATAACTGCCGTCGTCGTTACGCGAGATATGTTAAAAAGGACATTCAGGATCAAGAGGTGGAAGTCTGAAACGCGTGCGAGAGCCTGACATGTGCGTGTCGCCCCGCCGGAACATTATTAATACAACTCGCTCGCCTTGGCTCACCCATATCGATCACGCCGATAATCGATAAACACGTACTTCATATACCTACGCGCGCACGCGAGTGCGGTGTGCAAATCGCAAATTGCAAATCTTCGCCGCCAAATAGGAAAGACTGGTTGGGACGACGCGACGTCGCACGCTCGCATAAAACTTCATCGTCGGAGTTGCGCGTCGTCGCAAGTCGCAACCATCCCTCGCAAATTCGATCGCTCCGCCGATGGGAGAGAAAGAATTGAAGTTCCTCTCGTCGCTCTCTTATTTTCAGCGGACGACACGCGACACACAATAATCAGATAACAAGGCATATGAAAGTTAAAATGGGATTTATTTCTGATGATCACCACAATGGCAGCCCGGCGTGATAAATAAGTTATTTTTAGCCCTGCGAGGGCTAAACCCGTTTGAAAATATTAACGACTCTTCGGCTCAATTACGTTCTTTATGGATCTCCATTGGGTGATCTCGACATTGTGTCGAATCAGTTATTTCTAGAGACCCTATAAGAGTATCCCTGGTAAACAAAAGCTGATAGAGAACGATACGATTTCTATCAATTTGTACCGTTTTCAAGTGTATATCATTTTCTACACTGAAAAAAAAAGATTGGTTGCTGCAACAATTTAGTTATTAGATAGCAAAATATGGCACAGTATTTTTATATGGCTGCAGCAACCAGTTTTTGGTTGTAGCAACAAATTTTTAGTTGCGTTAGACTATCAAAGCCATATACTGACATTGCGGATATGTTAATACAACCAACAATTGGTTGCAGCATCCAAAAATTGGCTGTTGCAACCAATTAAAAATGCTATGCCATATTTTACCATCCAATTTGTTACAGCAATTAATCTTTTCTTTCAGTGTATCGTTGATCTTACGAGCATCACGATTGATCGGATATGACTCTTATCGGATTCTATAAGATTTGTATAAGATTCCTATAAGATCTGATTCAAATTAGTGAATTCACGAACCAGATTCCATGTATTCGAAACGATAAGATTTTTCTATCATTCTCTATCAATTTTATTTTTATCAGAGATTAAATGACAAACTTTTGATTAGCTCGTTATTTTTGTCAACTTCAGTAAGTTAGAATGAATAAGATAGTATATAAATTATTGTAGAATAAGATAGCGTATATAAAAAGAAACGATATATATATCCTTCTTTCTCATTCGTGTTTTGACAAAATTGCTAGTGGCCAGACCTTGTTATAGGGTTCCTACTATTTAGTTCCTGCTATTCCTGGTTCCCAAATCCACCCGCCTGAGATTAAGCAAGACACCCCCGGCTCAATTACGCGACTTTTATGAAACATCACGCCGCTTGAATGGAGTTCTGCCTGCGACGAAAAATTATTTTTAGTCTCACGGAAAATGCTGGGAGAAATCCGGGAACTTGACGCGAAACGTCACGAACGAGCATAATACGGCGGCGAAATACGGGAGGCTATTTTCGTACAGACGCCCTCGACGCCGCATACAAAAATATTTCGTGGGACAGAAACGTCCCATTCGCGCCCAATTCGTGGTGGAATTCCATCGCTGTGCGCTGTTTCGTGGCGTTCCATCGTTTCGTAGGCCGCGCACGTGTTCGCGCCCGTGTCATTGATTCTTTAATAGAACGCGTTGTCCGTCGATCTGCGAAAAAAGAAGTATCGCTTGCTGGCGTGAGTCGCAGGTTCGATGATTACGACGGAATTCAGGAACGCCGAAGGGAGAGGCGCGTATAATAGGATTAGATGAATCATGGAGGAGTATACGGCGATCTATTTTCATTTCTTCCACCGCCAAGTGTCAGGTGACATAACGGCGTGGATGGTAACGCAAGACCGATTTTAAATGCTCTTTCTATCGCTTTTGTGTCTCTTGACAAGATGTGCATGCGTGCATGCACGTGCAAAAGTGTACACGTGCAACAATGCTCACGTGAAAAAATGTCCGTGCGTAGCTCTACTGATAGAATTACTTGGTTTGCCAACCAAGATTAACTCGAGAATAGTCGACTAATTCTTTTTTTACGTGAACGACCACCTGAGATGCTTTTATACTCCAATTAAAAGTCATTATTATTAATTACATTGTGCATTGTTTTATTAGTATTTGAGATCATTATGTATATAGATTTATTTGACATTAAAAAAATAGAAATAAATTTCTGAACCAATAAAAAAGACAGAAAATTTTTTTTTAAATTAAAAACTAGAAAAAAAATGTTTAACAAAAAAAAGACTAAATTTCAATTTTTTGCTCCTAAGATGCAAAATTCCAAATAATCATCCTAGATTAATAAAAAAAATTTTCCTCATTGGAAATTTAATATATATATTTTTTATTTAGTTTTATTTTGTAAACCACAAATTTAAAAAATCTATTTAAAAATCTAACTTTGAATAAATGTATATTTCCGGCAATTAATTGATTGATCGTCTCGAGATATACACAGGAAATATATATATATATATATACTTCTCATTTTATAAAATATACATTTTTCTAATTCAACACAATCAATCAAATATACGTATATACAGTTCACTGCCTTGTTTTTCAGTCAGTATAGGTGTATAATTCCGCGAAAACGTAATAAGATACATGGCAATATCAAGGAGAATGTCAACCTCGCAGAAAACGTTGAGAAGTTTATCTGCCTTGCGAAACGGACTGCGTGTCACGCAAGGTGTATACTGTCGGCGTACAGGAATCGTCCCTGATCGGCCGATTTGGCAGAGAGAACTGTCGTGCACGTATGCGTTTACATAACGATCTAGGCCGATCGTGAAGACTGCGATACGGAACATGCATAGCTCCGTGCAGCTGAGAAATTGCCAGAGGCGCCCGAAATGTCGTCGCTCTCTTGCCAGAGTTTCTTTCTAGCGACAGCTCGCCGAGATTCATTGCGATAAAGATGTCCCGGACGAGCGTCTTTGGTCGAGATTCACAAACGCTTTTTGGAAAGGAAAAAAAAAAGAAAAAGAAAGAGGAAGAGAGAAAAAACGTGGTGAACCGTTTCTTCTTCCTCTTTACCGCGATAATTTCACTGATAAAGCTCGCAGGTACACCTTGTCTTTCGAGATATCGTTCTTCATAAAAATTATCTTTATCGCATCGAACAAATCGCCAACTCTTTCGTATTATTGTTTCCATCGCGATAATTTGCAGTTACCTGTCGAGCCAAAAGACGCCTCAGGTGAAGCATTCTGTTCTCTGTACTCTCTCCTCCAAGAATGCGCCAGAAAAATGAGATAAGAATTATTTGCACGAGCGACAATCTTCACCCGTTATCGTACCCGGCTTGTTATTTTTAACGTCTAGAGATACCGAAGAGGCGAATCACGAGTATCTCGCTCGCGTTTTCACGGATTATTCCCCAATCTTGCAGTCGCAAAAAACGTTACCCAGAGGAATTTATTATCGCTGATAAAACTGTGACGCATACTGTTAAATTCACAAGGTCAAATTATACCCACAATTTGTATTATTTTTTATCATTTATTCTACAAGTCACTACTGTTCTTCAATATGTCGTTAATTTAACTAAAACAGTAGAATCAAATAATTAAACTTACGAAAATATATTAAAGACTCAAATTTAGTTCATTATGTACTAAGAGCATGCTCTTTAAAAATGAATCAGTATAATATCACTAACTTTAGTGCTACACTTTAATAACTGATGTAGTTATCGGCGAATATTTACTGTTTTACAGTAATAATTCACTTTTAGAAGTTATAATTTTCTGCAGATTAAATTTGCAGAAAATCATAATTTCTAAAAGTGAATCAGTCTTATTACTAGAAAACGGTAAATATTCGTTGATGATTACATCATTGCAGTTATAAATGTAACACTGATTCACTTCTAAAAAGTACGTTAATATGAACGTTTAATTTGAAATTAAGCAATTGAACCACAGAAATGGATTGATTTATATTTTTGCACATGGAGTTAAAAATAAGAAAATGTTATTTTATTCAAGGAATTGGGTTGCTCCTTTAATATCTAACAGTGTATGTAAGACTATCACGAGCAATGAAATACACCGCGCAAAATACTCGTTCGTAATCATTTTTCAATCCACGTTCAAAGTCAGACAAGAGAGCTGTTATTAAACATTATTGAAAATTTTAAGCGCTACTTAAAAAACTACAAAATTAATATTATAATTGAATAACTTTTCTTTACTCAGAGAGAAATCGATGTGCTGGATATATTTATGTCCTTTGATACAAATGCAATTTTGGATGTTAACAGCCACACCTTGGCCATCCGGTCGGCGTTAGGCCCGCCTTTACCATATAAACATATAGTTTCGAGTGTTTGAAAACACTTACCTTGATGTCGAGGTGAGCCACGTTCAGGGAATGCAGAAAGGCTATCCCGTCCAAAATCTGCTTTAGTAATCTGGCGACCTGCCGTTCCTCTGGAACTTCGTCTCGGTCGAGTATCATTTGTAATTCGCCGCCAGGAGCCCTGTCACAATAAACATTACCTGTCTCGCACGACTTGCACAATATTTACGTTTAGCACGTACATATACTTTTTCGCTCGTCGGTTTGTTCCATAAATTCATTCAAATATACACAGCGCACTACGCGTCGGACGAATCAGCGTAACGTATTTTTACGACTGATACCGCTAGCGACGTACGTACGTTTAAATCACGAGTTTACACTTTTGTCCTACTTTTTGAGTAATTAACAGTTGTTACGACATACAGAAAGTTACACGCTATTATTGTCGATGTCCATCATATAATTTTATTTCGTTTTTTCGTCACAGTACAAATAATCTAAACCAGTGATATATGCAATCTTTTTTAATCTTTAAGTAGGATTTCGATATACAGTCAGATATATATTGAAAATTTATTTCACGTTACTATATACAGTATATCGGAATACGACCTAAGTAGGTAGCCATAGTACTAACAATTATTTTGAAAACCTTATTCAAAAACTATGCACGGTATCTTAAAAATTTTCTTCTGGAAAAAAAAAGTAAAAAGTATTGCCCAGGAGTTTTAAAGTTCATTACTTTTACATTTCTCTATCTCGTTAGGGTAAATAAAATAAACAATAAATTTAACGCTCTATACATAAAAATATTAAAAATTACAAAAATAAAATTTTTTGAGGTTTTCTCTGGGCATTCCATCTACCTAGTTAAAGATTAAAGATAATTTTCAGAGAATTATTTTCAGAAATAGGTAAAATTTTGCTAGTCGCATGTTTATTTGTAAAAAAAAACAGAAAAAATAATTTTATTCTTTTAGCTATGAATCGACGGGCCGCAGGTTGCGCGCATCGCTAATTTAAATAATAAACTATCTTTTACTATTCACGATGATTCAATCCAAATGATAAACGTTATTTTATATTCGAAGGATAGGTACGTTCAAGATGAACCGACGAGAGAATACAAGCGAGATTGAGAAACGTCCTTGTACTTACAGCTCGAGGACGAGCACCATCTCGGTGTTGGTCTCAAAGACCTGATGAAGAGAGACGAGACGAGAACAATGGGCCGCGGCATCTAGCACGGCGACCTCGTGAAGCGCTTCCGCTCTAAGCTCCTGGGCTCGTCGTCGCTTCCTCAGAAACTTGGCGGCCCACTGCCTGCCGCTGGATCTCTCGCGGCATCTCCTCACCGTTGCGTATTTACCTCTGAGGAAGAAATACATCGTACATTAATCTTAATAATCACGTTGCATATGAAAAATCGAAACGAGATATACTAGCCAAGTACCCGAGAAGCAAAACGTATAAACGTAATAGACGTGTAAGATACAATGGCAACACATTTGTAATTCTAATTCGAAACAGAAGTGAATATGATTGTACTAAAGTGTATTTTTTATAATTCGGCCATTCTGCAACCACCACATAATCATTCACTCGATCGTTCGTTAAAACTTCACTCTCACACTATTTTTATCCAAAATTGTGAGATTAGAAGCGAGAATATAATTCACAATAAAAATTCTTGCAAAATATATTAATACGAAAATTCAAAATATTTGAATAAAACAACACTTACAACCGATCAATAATTAGATATAACAAAATTCCTTTCGTTTTTTTAATTAATAAATATATCTGAAAATAAATTATGCATAAAAACGAAATAAGCTATGTTCACAGCTAAGACAAACTGTTAATATTTAATAATATAGAAATAAGTATAACTTAACATCTCTTCAAAAGATGAAGATAGAACAAGAAAAGTTATCGAAATATAATTTATAAATCTATTCAAAACGTGTTGTTTTATTAACAAATACTTCTATTGAAACATAATTTACAAAAATTGTTGTTGTGTTTTCCCGCTTCTGATGTTATAATCTGAAATAGTAATTACGAGTGAACAGAAGCCTTAAAACGTTAATTGCGCGAGGTATAAATGTTTCAGTCTCGCCGAGCGAATAATTAAGTTTCATAACTTTAGTAATCGCGACTTTATGGACGATTGACGTGTACGTCCGCACCATCGCCGATTGCTGTAATTCGTTCCCACCGGCCGGCATCGCTAATAAAGACGTTAAGAAAAGGTAAGAGCAAATAACACAATATCATATAGGAGGAAGTCGGACACCCGCAAAATAATCCGTCGCTTTCACTTTTTCCGTTAATAACGCGCTTCGTTCCTCCCTTATGCTTTCCTGATTACAGAGAACGAGGCACGCCGAATGATTTTCTTCGCGGAAAAATCACCTTTTTTTACTCTACCGTGCTAAAACATTACGGTGGTTGCACATAACGCACATCTGCAATTCGTGTCGCACAACACACCAGAGAACGAAACGCGCGAAACAACGAAACATGCAATACCACGATAAAGTCTCGAAACTTTCAATTTTTTCCGCGGATAGCTATAAATTCAAACAGGATGACAACAAATTGCGATCGCCAATTGGAGTCCCAGATTGATTCGTGAAATTAAACGCTTCCGCGTAATGTAACAGGGATATTGCGATCGATCGCAATATCGAATCCCGCGATTTGATTGCGAAACTTTACCACCAATTATGCGGAGAACCAGGACGTCCTACATACAAAATGCATGCTATATGTATCCAGTATATATTTATAATATGAAACAGGAATACATTAAATCGTAGTCGCACAAAATGTAAGGTGGAGACTATATTTTTTCATGGAACGATATTTTCACGCGTAATAACCCGAACGATGCGATGCGTAATAATACCGTTATCAGTTTTGATGTCACAAGATTGCGTAAGCTCCGAGATAGTTACGTGTACAATTCGCGTAAATTTCAAATTATTGTATTTATAGGTACAGCCGTTAGATAATAGAGTTATCTCAAATGGCCTGTTTTCTGTTCCTGCACTGGCACTCTCTTTTTCACTTTCAACAAATATCAAGCATACACTCATCTCACTTCAAGTTCTAAAACACTAGTTCAACCACAGAAAACAGACCTAAAGTGTCTTCGAAGCGCTTTCTTCATTGATCCGAATTAAATGGTTTGGCGAGCATCGAAATGCTCGGGAACGCGCAAAGTACAATCCCACACGAGCGCGAACCCGCTGTAATCCGACGATCTAACAACCACTAGAAAGTGAACTCGCTAGGGCAATGCACCTATGCTCGCGGGCCTAAATTCGAGCAGCGGTAGTGAAAGCACTTGTGCGTATTATTACGTAAAGGGCTTGCCACTCAAGGAAGTACCCACACGCATTCCTCGCAAACGGAGAGCTTTAGCGTCGATAACGAGAACGCGACACCCATTTTCCTGTTTCTGAATCTTACTTCATTCGACATAAGACTGATACAGCACATAACATGTATGTCACAGTTTTCAAACGACACGAATATTCGTTCCCACGTCTAATTCTTTATGCGTAACTACAGGAAGGATTGGCGACGCGATAAATCTAGACACAGCGACCGAAAGGGAAATCAATGCGTATACAAGACAGAAAGTCCACGTGGGAAGTCGATCCATTATGTCCAAAAATGGGAAAGTGTGTTCGTTTAAGGGACAGAGAGAAAGGAAGGGACGCGGCACTCTCGTGCGAGAAAAAATATTTTTCGGAGGTCCGTTAAAGGCGACGGTGAGAGATGGTCACCGGGTCAAGGGATAGACGGTACGAAAGGACCGCTCGACAGGCGTCAAAGTAAGCATCATTAGTGGCCATTGTATCATCCGGCGGTATCCCACAGAGAGCAATGATGGAGAATGGGGGATAGAAGTCGGAATGCCGCGTCAATATCTCTCATTCTTCTCACACTTTTTACTTAAACGATGCTACCGCGCGTTATGCGCGAAAGTAAGAAATCGTTGTGCAGAAAATGAATTTTGGAATTAGCATTTAAAACTAAAGCTCTCTTGTCAAATTTGTGCGAAACAATTTCACTGTCATTTTTGCTGCTCACAAAATTTCTGAGTTTTTAACGCTTTTATTACCAGATTTTTAAAACGCACGAGAGGAGCCGAGGAAATTATCATGGGATACGTCAATGTTTTTCGATCATCTACAAAATAAAGTTTCATGTGGATACTAGTTTTTTTTTTATAACGTTACTAATTATTAATCAATAATAATATATATAAAACTAATCATACTTTCTTCTTAATTTATTTATATTTATCTTATTGACATGTAGGTTGGAAAATACGAGCGAGATTAAGAACAGATAGTAGTCCCTTATCGGAGTTGTTATCTCGTTCTAACTAATTACTGGTTGTTAGTTGTTACAGAGGCAAAGTTAACGTGTCTCCCTGGATGAACAAAGACGAGTAGAACACGCGCCACAACATAGCCGTTTTCATGATCACGCTGATTATCGAGCGCGATAGAAGCAAATGCGGGTCAACGATCGTCTCGCGATTTCAAGATTTCCTCTCTGATCAATTAGCGATCTAATCTCTGACAGACATCGCAAATTTTTTTTCATTCCACGCGACGACTTCTCTGCTCGGAGGTACGCTAACTTGATCTTCGCTAACTGCGACTCATGCACATTTCACGATATATGCAATTTAGCACGTTAAGAGGAATGTAATTAGGCAGAATTTTTTAAAGCAAGATAGTTGAAAGGCAAAACGGATATCTGGAAATATTGCCGCGTTCCATTCGTGAGAGAAGACTCGCGGAGATCGTATCGATTTCATCGCCAAGCGAGCTCGTCGAACTATCTATACCAGTTTCCACACCGTAGATACGTACATGTGTGTATACATATACACGCGTTTAATCGGGAAAACACGTTCGAGAACCGTTACATCCGGCGATCGTATCACGTATCGCAACTCCTCGCACGTCGCGAAAGGCATAATCACGATGACGCGAAAGAGAAGTCGCTAAACTCCACACGAACGACGGCCTTGAGTCGTCCCATCAAAGACTCTCCTCCTCCAGCTCTTGGAAGAGAAGAGAGAAGAAAAGTGGTGGGCGCGAGATTCACTTCCGCGAAAAGCTGTCGCATCAGCGAATGATAAGCTGTAACGAATCGGGATATCATCGGGATAAGAAACCGCGTTCTGGGAAGAAGGGATCGCTCGTAATCTCCGTCGCCGTTTAATGGCCACAACTGTAAATCCGGCATCACAATGTTGACGACGGAAATTATTATTATCGCAGTAGCGTCGCCTAATGGCCCCGTCGCACCTGGAGATTAGCACTCCGTGGCGAACGGGAGCCCGGGTCAAAACCACCGATTATTACGATCTCCAGTAATTTCTTCGCCGAAGAGAAGCTTCTTCTCGCTTCTTCTCGCCGCTTCGATTAAAGACGGAATCTCCGCTGCTCGCGCGAAGCAATCGAATCGAGACGGCGAAGGAAATTGTCGCGAGCTCGCGAGAAACGACGTCTGGATACGATTTTGTTGACAGCGAAGCTGTGAATTGCCATTCGTTTCGCACGCAATAAGTTCGTTTGCCAACGTATCATCTGCTTGCATTTATTTCCAGGAAGACTGTAACTCATTAGTTTGAAATTGATAATTTAAATCCGTTTCTGTCCAGGAATTCGAACGATCGCGAAGCTATGCCATCCGGTTTAACGTTATATGTACGTCATTATTTCATTTGTAAAATCTGTAATGAGACATAACGATTCCAAGTAGCTTCTCTATTGAAGCGACAGGTGTAATTCTGAAAATACAGCTTAAATTATTGGACTTTTTTATGCTATGACAGTGAGATGCATCTGCAAGGCGGGAATGGCACTAACCTAGCGAGTGGAAGTTGGTCGGGTCCGGATTGTATAAATTTTGAAATTGCGATTCCTTCACCTGTCCTTTGCAGCTGCCATCAGACTACTACTGCGAGTCTTGAGCAGCTTGCGCTTAAAAAATCCCTCTCACAGGTATGCAGGTGTTAGCCGCGGAAACTTTAAATCGTGTACCATCCAACTGCGTTTATACTGTAAACGCTGTTTTTAAAATGACAAACAAAAACGATAATAAGAAAAAAAAGGTTAAATGAGATCAAACAGATGTTTTAAATTTGTATTTCAAGTCTTTCATATTATTTCATTAAGAGACAATCAAACGGTCAAAGTCAAACGGATATCCGCGTTGCATTGGCTCACGGTCTAACGTGGAAATTGAAAAACGATTTCCCTTTTTTTGCCCGCTACGGCATCGACCTCGCGGAAACGTCCTCGTCATCGCATTGCCTTCGCCAGCTTCAGAGC